AAATGGCTTTTCTCCGGAGTGAAGGAGTTTATGAACTCTGAAAGCATTTGTCCATTTGAAACTCTTTCCGCACTGATCACATGTGTAAGGCTTCTCTCCGGTGTGAATTCGTGAGTGAGTATGAAGGTGGGTTTTAGTTAAAAAATACTTTCCACAATGAGGACATGAGAAAGGCTTTTCTCCACTGTGAACTCTCATGTGACGACTGAAGAGGTCTTTACGTCTGAAACTCTTTTCACACTGAGGACACTCGTATAGGTTCAGGGGGCGTAGCTTTGGACGGCGATTGCAGGGAGGGTGAGACGGTCGCTTTCAGTGCTATCAGGCTAAAGTTAGCATTTTCCAAGATCTCCTACTGCACCTTTAAACAACTGCTGACATTACTGATCATTCAGTGATTATTTGGAAAATTAGGTCGAGAATTACGCTAAGCGTAATACGCTAAAGGTTAAAAGTTAGGTAAATGTAACTCTAATTTACCCTATAGTAAAAGATGAAGTCTACCTGAAGACCTGCTTGTTTATGGACCTTCTGTTCATTTCATTTTTGACTTAAAAAGAAATAATCAGAAATGAGAAACAGTTTGTGCTTTTCCATTTTGTTTAAAAATAGGAAAAATTAGAATTAAGATAGATTTTTTTTTAATGGGTTTACTACGGAGCCCCAAACATGACATGTGCGGGAAAAAAATTGTTCCCACGAATTACGTCAATACTAATCCCACGACTTACTGTATGATTTAGTAATTTGCTCCCTCCTTTTAAATAAACCATAGGGGTGTTGTGTTCTCTCTCAAGTGTTGTTTGATAATGCTTTCAGCACAATCAAACTCGATGGATCAATGAACACTAACATCGGTGATATCGAGAGGGTTTGGCGATTCCAATTGACGTATGAAATGATTTTATTATTATTATTATGGTACTTTCATTATTACATGATGTGTAGGTCTACTACAATCAATTTGAATTTCATCGCATTACCACACAACTGACGTGAAGCAAGGATAATAAAAGATTAAATCAGCTTACTCCTCATTAAAAAAAATATTTAAAACATTTAGGCTAGATCTATTGTACAATGCATAGTCCTATAATTAAAATTCTTAACCGTCTAAAATATATGTCTGAACACTGTAATCAGCCATCAATGAAAATAAGAGCAGCTTTATTTCAGACAAGGAAATTCCAAAAACTTGCCACAAGGGAATTTTTTTGAAAATAAATTAAGACATGAGGAAATATGAAATAAGTTCATTCACTTTATTTATAATGCAGACCAAAGTGCTGTACAAGCAGCATAGAAAAACATAGAACACATAAAAACAACACAACCTAGTAATACATCAATTACTAGCCCAACCTCTCAAAGGCTAACGACAAAATATAACTTTTAAAACACGAGCTTTAACAGCATTTAACAAAGTAATCTCCCTAAGTTCATGAGTCAAACAGTTCCAAAGCCTTGGGCCCGCAACAGCAAAAGCCTGATCCCCTTTTAACTTTAAATGAGTTCGAGGAACAGCAAGTAATGACTTATTGCTTGATCTTAAAAACCTAGGTGCTTGGTGAAGAGCAATAAGCAATAAGCCATCCCATGCACTGCTCTAAAAACATATAGCAGAATTTAATATTTTATCTTGAAGTCCACTGGTAGCCACTTAAGAGAAGCCAAAATAGGAGAAATATGATGACTTTTCTTAGCTGCACTAACTGCAAACGTGATATAGTGGTCTGACAGGAGCAGGACCCCACAAACAAAACATTGCAATAGCCAAGGCGAGACAGAACAAAGGCATTAATAACCTTCTCTTAATCTTTTCTCGACAGTAAAGACTTTAATCGAGCAATAGATCTGGAAGAAGCAACTCTTAACCACAGCATTAATCTGCTTATCAAGTTTCAGTTCTGGGTCAAGCACAACACCTAGATTATTTACTTGGTCATGGCAGTAGTCTGACCATGTGCCTAAATACGTGGCAATATCTGTGCATCCTCTGGCAGGGCCAAAAAGCATAATCTCAGTTTTACTTTGGTTTAGTTGAACCAAATTATGAGTCATCCAGCTTAACCTCCTCCAGACATGCCAAAAGTAAATTAGCACCACAATGCTCTACTGATTTCAAAGGGAGATAAATTTGTGCATCGTCGGCATTAGGGTTGCAAAAAGGTGGAACATTTCCAGTAAATTTCGGAAACATTGCAGAAATTTTGGAGGAAATTGTCCAGGATTTTTGTGGAATATTCCAGGAATTTTTGGAAAGTTTCCGGAAATTTTCCACCCCTTTGCAACCATAGTCGGCATACAAGTATTTTTTTAAAAATCGAACCCAGAGGCAACATGCACAAAGAAAATAAGATAGAGCCAACAACAGAACCCTGAGGTGAATAAAAATAAATAAATCAATGATTAAGAACATTAATTAAAGAGGAGCTGGAGTATAGACGCGCAGTTGGCTTGGAAGACGTGGACATATGGTTTATCCATTCTGCAATGCGAACTGGAGGTAAGCTGCTAAATTGTAGCTAGTTTGATAGCGACAGAACTCATAAAGACCTCCCTCTTTTTGCTTTCTTTCTTGCTGCATTAAAGATGAAATGGTTTAAGTTCTGTTTTAGCACAAGCACAGTGAGGGAAAAGGGTCAAAAATTGACGAAAATTGACGAAAATCGCACAGTGTATGCCCTGCTTAAAGTATGACTGAAACGGGGATGTAGCCTGTTCACAAAGAGTGCTATTCACAAAACACTCAAGAAACAGAATGGATTAGTAAATCCTGGAGTATAGACGCGCAGTTGGCTTGGAAGACGTGGACATATGGTTTATCCATTCTGCAATGCGAACTGGAGGTAAGCTGCTAAATTGTAGCTAGTTTGATAGCGACAGAACTCATAAAGACCTCCCTCATTTTGCTTTCTTTCTTGCTGCATTAAAGATGAAATGGTTTAAGTTCTGTTTTAGCACAAGCACAGTGAGGGAAAAGGGTCAAAAATTGACGAAAATCGCACAGTGTATGCCCTGCTTAAAGTATGACAGGACTGAAACGGGGATGTAGCCTGTTCACAAAGAGTGCTATTCACAAAACACTCAAGAAACAGAATGGATTAGTAAATCTTGTGCACATTACTTAAAACGAGGTAACGGATTTTGGAAATCGCTAAATTGTACTACACTGAATCCAGTTAATTATATATTTACTTAGATTTTGCTTCAAAATGCATTTAATTTGAAACGTCTCTACAAAAAATATGGGGAAAAAATCTTCGCTTACAGGCAAAAAGAAGTTGCATATAGACCTTTTCAGGACGGCGCTCGTTGTCTTATGTATTTGAATAGTTGATGGGAACCATTGACTTCCATAGTAGGAAAAAAATACTATGGAAGTCAATGGTGCCCATAAACTGTTTGGATATTAACATTTTTCAAAATGTCTTCTTTTGTGTTCAACAGAAGAAAGAAACTTAATAGGCCTATAGGGAAAGTTTCTAATACCACATTAAGCGTATTGGGTAATTCACAGTTCTAAGATATAATTAAAAGCAAACTAGTAGATCCAAATACATAAGTATTTAGATTAAAGTAAATAAAATAAATAAATTGCTAGATCCAAATAGGGGCGTGTAGTTGATTCAGCTCCAGCCTGGCAAACAAAGCAAGGAGTGAATCCGCTAAACTCTAAGAATTACAAAAAAAAAAAAAAAATTATGATGAAAAGAAATCTTTAAATGCCACCAAATGGCCTCTAACACCCGCACTAATGTTCCCTCAATGACCCTCTGCAGTTTCCAGCACTGAGCCCACTTTAACTGCTAGACATTAAAATTACTCACAAGATCACAGGACTGAACAGTTTGAGTTGTTGTCTTCTTCTGTTCTTCTTCTATGGATTGTGTTGTTATTAGCAGTGAGCAAAGACACTTAGGATGAACTACTGCCACCTGCTGGACTGGAGGATGGAGCTTCGATGCGCAGGGAACAGAGCTTAAAGTGTTGCTACCACTGTACTGATCTATAGATGTAATAAAGGAAGCTTAATTATGTCTGAGTGGTTGTAATAGGGCATATTACATTAAAACAGTCTCAGGTGAATGAATATAATAATTAAAGCGTGTTTGACGCTGCAGTTGGGAACTAGTTTGACACTTGCTAGGAACATCTCAGTAGTTAGGTTTTATTAGACTATTTACAAGTAACTGATTTAATTAAAAGATTGTGAAAATGCTACATAATACATTTGTTTGCCAAAATGCCAACCATTATAGAGAGAGGGAGAACGTGTTGAGCTGTTCACACAGAACGTGTGTTTCCGTTCCACTGCCCTGCTTTTATTGTGTTTGCTTGATCAATTTTCACTGTTTGATTATGACTGTAGCCAGTGTTGTTGCTGTAGTAAATTTGTGTGTTTGATTTTAATTTCCCATTTTGAGTGAAAAAAAAAGGGGGCTGTTAGGTCAAACACAGAACCCAAACAAACCCAAACGGACAAAGGCCTTCAAAATTTTCCATTTTTGATTCATTGCTGGGTTGCCAAAATTACCCAAATTGGGCTGTTTTTAACCCATGTGTAACATCTTAAAATGAAAAAATGACTGCAAAATTATGTCTTAGATTAGTCTTTTTACGCGTTGCGTTGCATCGCACCACGTAAACATAAAACCATGTCTGCATTTGTGATCGGAGAAATGACAAACAACAAGTGCTACTCTACACTGCTCAAAACTCACGTTTGAATCATCAGTGGCAAATTCTTTAAATATAAAAAACGTACTTACAGTCTGTGAGTCAGAACAGCCGGCATTATAGTCTACTCTACCAGGATCAGTAAACAGTCCTCCATAAAATGTGCTGCACGCATCTGAATATTTGGGTTGAAGTGTTCTGGAACAGTGTTGTAAATACAACTTAACCACTGATTTCTAGCCGTGTCCTCTTTTGGAAGACCAAACAAAGTAGTTTCGCTTTCACAACGAAACACACGGCGTCACACACGGGGTTTACTGTTAAACATCCGGAGCCTTCCGTGCTGGCGCGGCATTTAGATGAATATGTAAATATGTTATGTGAGGCTTTTCTCCACTGTGAACTCTCATGTGACGACTGAAGAGGTCTTTACGTCTGAAACTCTTTTCACACTGAGGACACTTGAACGGTTTCTCATTACTGTGAGACCTTAAGTGAGTGCCAAGCGTTCCTTGACTTATAAAGCTCTTTCCACAGTGTTGACACACAAACGGCTTCTCTCCGGTGTGAATCCTTATGTGAATCTTAAAGCCTCCTTTACGTAAGAAACTCTTTCCACACTGAGGGCATGTGAACGGTTTCTCTCCGGTGTGAATTCTCATGTGTTCTTTGAGACTTGCTTTACATGACAAGCTCTTTCCACACTGATGGCATGTATCATCATCATTCTCCTCTTTAATAAACTCCATCTTTACATCACAGCTCATTGCTATGTGGAGGACCAGATCTGAAAAAAGAGATTATGTTCTACAATTAATTCCACTTCAACTTTATTGAACAATTCAATATATAAATGAAATGCATTTTAAAACTTAAACGACTACGGTGTCTGAAACTGGGCACAAAGCAGAGCTACTGTACTTTTTGAATTTGAAGATCAGGGTAAATGTAACTTATTTTGTCTTCTGGGAAACATGTAAGTATCTTCTGTAGCTTTTGAAGGGCAGTACTAAATAAAAAAATATGATAATTAGACAAAATAAGAAAAATTTACACATCTTCATTCTGTTCAAAAGTTTACACCCCCAACTCTTAATGCATCGTTTTTCCAGTACTAAATAAAAAAATATGATAATTAGACAAAATAAGAAAAATTTACACATCTTCATTCTGTTCAAAAGTTTACACCCCCAACTCTTAATGCATCGTTTTTCATTCAGGAGCATCAGTGAGCATTTGAACCTTCTGTAATAGTTTGTAATAGCGTATGAGTCCCTCATGTAACAGTCATGGACTTTTAGTTGTGTTTTTCCCTGTTCCTGATCTCCTGTCTTTTGTTCCTTTGACCTAGTTTTCCTGAGTTGCGTTGATTAGTTCATCAGGTTCACCTGTGTCTTGTTAATTAAGTGATTAGCCCCTCTCTTGCTTTTGTATAAATTCTCCCCATTTCTGTTTGGTCCTCGCCAGTTTTTGTTTGATTCTATTGTGTTGTGCTACTCCAGCTCCTGGATTCTTTGTGGATTTATTATTAAAAGACTATTTTTGGGATTTACTTCTTCGTCGTGTGCTTAGTATCAGCACCAGCATGTTACAGAAGATCCGGCCCAAAAGGTAAAGTTTTGCGGCATTTTTTTCCCCCTTGCCTTTTGTTTTTCTCCGAATGGATATCCCTGTCGTCCAGTACCTCTGCATGGAGCAAGGAGATCGCTCCTTCGAGGACCACACAAGAGACTTCATAGGACTGGCTAATCTCACCACCTTTGCGGTTCCGTACTAACCTGCCCATGGATGGCCCTCAAGGGAGTGTCACAGAGCCCACTGCAGACGGAGAGCCTGAGCCTGCCGCGACACGTGAGCCAGTGCATAAACCTACTACTGAGCCAAGCATCGCCCCGGAGCCTGAGCCTCAAGAGACGTCTGACCAGGTGTGTGAGTCAGCTACATCGCACGTGCATAAGGGAGTACTGGTGGAGATCAAGGGCTTGGAGGGAAGCCCTGCCCACACTCCAGCCACTGAGGGTGAGCTGCAGCTGGCCTCTGGACATTATTTTGAGGAACTTATGGACATTTTTCAATAGGATATAATAGACTGTGTTGGAGAGGTTGTACCTTATATTCCTGCGTCTCCTACGTCTCTTGAGTCTCCGCTGGTTCCGTCCAGCTCTCCTACGTCTCCTAAGCTCCCTGTGACTTCTGTCTTCACCTCCAGCTTCCAAGTGCTGGACTCCACCTCAGTCCTTCGACCCATCGGCTCCACCTTGGCTCCTAGCTCCCTCTTCTCCACCATGGCCCGTCATCCTACTGGCTCCACCGGGCTCCCTCGTCCGTCGTCAACCATCCGCTGCCTCGGGACTCCACTCCTCTGGCTTCGCCTTGTCACTCCGTCCCTCTGGCTCTGTCAGGCTCCTCCTTCCTTCCGGCTCTGCCTTTGTTCTCAGTCGCTCCGGCTCCGCTTCAGGCTTCCGGAGCCCCCCTCCGCATCGGTCGCCTGAGCCTTTAGCTCCGCCTTGGCCCTCCGGATCCTCGGGTGTCACCCTGGCTCTCCGTCTGCTTGGCTCCACATGGGTCTCCACCCCCAGCGGTTCCGTCTCCATCTCTCGTCCCCAGGGTATTGTCTGCCAATCCTCCACCATGGCTTCTCCCTCCCTCGACTCTGCCCTGGGGCCTCGTCCTGGTTGGTCTCTTGACCAACATCTGGCTCCTCCTGCTCCCCCCTACCTTCTACTCCCCCATGGACTCTTTTTGTTTCTGCCTTTTTCCTGCTCCACACCCTTCTCCAGAGCCCCCACCGGGAGGGGGGCGAACTGTCACCGTCATGGACTTTTAGCTGTGTTTTTCCCTGTTCCTGATATGTCTTTTGTTCCTTTGATCTAGTTTTCCTGAGTTGCCCTGATTAGTTCATTAGGTTCACCTGTGTCTTGTTAATTAAGTGATTAGCCCCTCTCTTGCTTTTGTATAAGTTCTCCCCCTTTCTGTTCTGTCCTCACCGGTTATTGTTTTATTCTATTGTGTTGTGCTACCCCAGCTCCTGGATTCCTTGTGGATTTATTATTAAAAGCCTATTTTTGGGATTTACTACTTCGTTGTGCGCTTAGTATCAGCACTAGCACGTTACACCTCAGTTGTCCTCAGTGTGGAAAGATGGGTCTCAAAATCATTCAGTCATTGTTGGAAAGGGTTCAAATACACAAAAATGCTGAAAAGCCAAATAATTTGTGAACCTGAAGGATTTTTCTGAAGAACAGCAGGCAGTTTAACTAACTGTTCAGGACAAATGACTCATGAACAACTATCACTAAACAAAAAAAACACAGCTGTGGATCATTCAGGCAACAACACTGTATTAAGAACCCAGTGTATGTAAACTTTTGAAGGGGGTCATTTTTATCAATTCAACTATTTCCTCTTGTTGACTATATGTAAACATCTTTTATGTGAAATATCGTATTCCGGTCAGTACTAAATAAAAAATTGCATGCATTTTGTGTGATCCCTCTTACTTTGGTAAAATAATGAACATTTTGCAGATTCTGCAAGGTGTATGCAAACTTTTGACCAACCGTAAATGCTGCATTTATACATCTCTCCCAAAACGTTGCAGCGTGCAAGCGATCGCTGGTGCTCTTAGCATCATAAAAAACAAATTCAAATTCTGAATGGATTAGCCAAGAAAGTGTGCAAAGCACGCTCCCTTTATAATAATAATAATAAAGCTGTCATTCATTTCAGTTTGTGATGTCACAAAGTTCCGTTAATGAAGCTCTACACTGCACAATGGATCTCTTATTAACATCATGTTACACTTTGTTTGTTATAATGAGAGACTTGAGATAATGAAAGACAAAATTATCTCTGTTTTGCTAAGAAAGAAAGAAATGCTGGATTCCTCATTCACATACACATGTGCATGTTGTATTTAATTCTGTCTATATTTTTTATTTTCTTAGGTTTTCTTATTAATTTTAACTTATGATTGTAGCTAGTGTTGTTGCTGTGATAAATATGTGTGTTTGATTACAATTTTTAAGCTATTAGGTCAAACATTTAACCCAAACAAGATGGGACAAAAGCCTACAAAACTTCCCTTTTTGACCCATTGCTGGGTTGCCAAAATGACCCAAATTGGGTTGTTTTTAAGCCATGTGTAACATCCTAAAATGTAAAATGACTGTAAAATTATGACTTAAAGATTTTCAAACTCAAGTTTTGACAAAAACTAAAAGTTGTTTAAAAATGGCGCTTATGGAACAGCAGATATAAAGTGGTTACCCCTGTACACCAAGCAGCACTGCTCTTATAAACACTAAACTATATGGTTCTATGAGGAATGTACCTAATGCCATAGACACTTTTTTGAAGATAGTCCCCCCCAGACCATATGACTATGAAGAATGACTCGAGTTCAGTGTTCATGGTGTAATATTTCTTTTCATAAAAAAATACATTTCTGGAGCAGATGTTTTAACAGTGATTTCACTGACCTGATGAACCTCAAAGCAGCAGTGAACTATAAGAAACATTAGCAACTTAAGAACAAGTTAAACATCCAAGTAATTACAGTAATTCAAGTATCTAAATCATAAATCAATAAAGATTTGTAACTACTACTGGTCACTTTTATTCTGTAAATGAGTGCATGCTTCACCAGGGTACTATGGACATTTTTCACATTTGAATTACAAATAATAATAATGTTTAATTTATATAGCACATTTCCCAGGCTCAAGGATACTTTGCATATGCAGTAACGCAAAGAACAGTCATTTCACATAGTCACAGACAATCAATTCAGTTGATCAGTTAAGTGGACAGTAGACGTTTGCCCAGTCCAGAAACAAAAATTATCGCAGTTGCATATCATAATAAAGCAAAGACATATAGCATAGGATTGAGTAAAAAACATAAAAAATGGATAGTATAAACAAACAAATAAAAATAAAGAGCAGTAAATGCAAGGCAGATACACGTAACAAAAATACTTTGAGAAAGCATTCCAATTGGTAGAAAAAGAGTTGGAAAGGGTCTAAAGAAACATAATTATGACTGGTAGGTGTTGGGTAAACAATTAGGCTTTAAGTTGTGATTTAAATTCAGACAGTGAGGTTGTTGTCCTCAGTGCCAGTGATAAAGAGTTCCATAGCTTAGGAGCCATGACAGAAAATTACCTGCTGCCCATTGAATACAGACAAAATCTAGTTGGGCTATACGGTGAAACTGAAGAAATGCAACTTTAAAAAGTTTATTGATGTAAACATCCAGGGTCAGTGAAGGATCAAGAGTAATGCCCAAATTTCTAATGGTGGCAGATGGAAAAATTGTTGTAGCATCAAGGTTAAAGCTGGGAATATTAGTTATATTTTTAGTTAGAGTTGGGGGGACAGTAATTAAAATTTCTGTCTTGCTCAAGTTCAAACTTAAAAAATTGGAATTTAGCCATGCCTTTAACTCATTAACACACATAGTGATGTGGTCTGGTGGATAGAATTCAAACGGCAAGCGGTATACAGTATTTCTGAATATCATTAGCACAACAGTGATAATGAAAACCATAATGACGAATAATATGTCCAAGGGGCATAATGTAAATAATAAACAGTAATGGGCCGAGAACAGAGCCCTGGGGAACACCCTGTCTAAGTAAAGCAGTGGAGGAGTTATAATTGTTTATAGCAATGTAGTATTGTCTATCTGTAAGATAGGAAGTGAACCAGGATAACAGGATAGAGTGAAACAATAATCACAAAAAAGGTAGCACTTTTTAATTCCTTGAGCTCTTAAGCTCTTGTTTCTTCAGTCATATTGACTTTAATTTTGGGCAATGCTTCTTTCTGTGCATCTGTGCAGCTCTATAATATCCGAATCTCTTGCCGCATTGATGGCACTGGAATGGTTTCTCTCCCGTGTGGATTCTCTCATGGTTTTGCAGGCCTCCTAACTGTCCAAAACTCTTCTCACAATGCGAGCACTTGTAAGGTTTTTCTCCAGTATGGATCCTGCGGTGCACTTTCAGCTGAGTGGCTGCAGTAAAGGCTTTACCACAATCTGCGCACAAATAGTCTTTCACACCAGAGTGTATTTTCAGATGGTCTTTAAAACAGTCCAGCCATGCAAAACTCTTCCCACAAACAGAACACAAGTAAGGCTTCTCTTTAGTGTGAGTTTTCATGTGGGCCTTTAGGTCTTTTTTCAGAAAAAAACTCTTATCGCACTGATCACACTTAAATGGCTTTTCTCCGGAGTGAATGAGTTTATGAACTCTGAGACTATCTGACCATTTGTAACTCTTTCCGCACTGATCACATGTGAACGGCTTCTCTCCGGTGTGAATTCTTATGTGATCCTCAAGGACTCTTTTAATTAAAAAACTTCTTCAGACTTCACATCAACAAGGAAGAAATAATAATAATAATTTGTTATAGGCTAGTTATCAGCTCACGAATGGTGGAAGGAAATGAAGAAAGGTAATTATTCAAAGCTTTGGATTTAGTTGAACAATTTTCATGTGCCTCTGGTCTTAAACTTAATATATCCTGGAGTGTCATTTTTTCCTTATCATACTTTTTTCAAAGCCTAAAATCGTTTCTCGTCATCGAAAACACACAGGGATCGCTTAATATAAGAAAGCAGCTTTGAACGGATGAACGGTGTTCATTCATTCTTCTGTATTTTATTGTAATTATGCATTTGCCAACATTAATGTTCTTAAAAGTGTTTTAATTATAATATAATACATCTACACTACTATATTATGGAGATATGATGAACATAAAATGCCATTGAACCTTTTCTGAAGACAGTCAGTTCCTTCCAATCAGTGAATGACTCTGGTTCAGTGCTCATGGTGGAATAATTGTTTTAATAAATAAGTCCATATAGCAGCAGATGTTTTAACATAGCTGGGTCTTATTTGATACCTTATCACTTATTTCATTAACCCGATTAACCTCAAAGCAGCAGTGAACTGTAAGAAACATGCAGCTGCTCACGAAGTTAAACATTCAGATAATTACAAGTGTATGTATGAACAATCATAACCACGTTATCTTCATTCTACAAACAACTTGGGTAACTTGGACATTTTTCAAATTTAAAATAACAAATAACAGTAAAACAAGGGCAATAATTCAACACTAATTAATTGAGCTCTCAAGGTCTTGTTTCTCCAGTCTATTGACTTTAATTTTGGGCAATGCTTCTTTCTGTGCAGCTCTATAATATCCGAATCTCTTGCCGCACTGAAGGCACTGGAACGGTTTCTCTCCAGTGTGGATTCCTCCTAACTGTAACGGTTCTAAATATCATTAGCACAACAGTGATCATGAAAACCATGGCGAATAATATGTCCAAGGGGCATAATGTAAATAATAAACAGTAATGGGCCGAGAACAGAGCCCTGGGGAACACCCTGTCTAAGTAAAGCAGTGGAGGAGTTATAATTGTTTATAGCAATGTAGTATTGTCTATCTGTAAGATAGGAAGTGAACCAGGATAACAGGATAGAGTGAAACAATAATCACGGGCCCTCTCGGATGCACTCCAACAGAAGAAGACACGGTGTTTATGAGAAGGGCTGTGCGTTCCACTTCGTGAAGTGGACGAGGTTTTATAGACAGACCCCTTTTAAATTACTGCAGGTAGTCATATTTAGCTAACTTAGCTACTGTTAAAATTCTCCTTCAAACTAAACTTGCTTACACCACCTCTTAACCTTCTTTAATCATTATTGCTATTGCTGAAAAATTGTTTTTATTGTATTACATCCATTTAGTGTGAGTTTTCATGTGGGCCTTTAGGTCTTTTTTCAGAAAAAAACTCTTATCGCACTGATCACACTTAAATGGCTTTTCTCCGGAGTGAATGAGTTTATGAACTCTGAGACTATCTGACCATTTGTAACTCTTTCCGCACTGATCACATGTGAACGGCTTCTCTCCGGTGTGAATTCTTATGTGATCCTCAAGGACTCTTTTAATTAAAAAACTCTTTTCACACTGAGGACACTTGAACGGTTTCTCATTACTGTGAAACCTTAAATGAGCCTTAAGGGTTCCTCGACATGAGAAACTCTTTCCACACTGCTGACACGCAAATGGCTAGGTTTTATAGACAGACCCCTTTTAAATTACTGCAGGTAGTCATATTTAGCTAACTTAGCTACTGTTAAAATTCTCCTTCAAACTAAACTTGCTTACACCACCTCTTAACCTTCTTTAATCATTATTGCTATTGCTGAAAAATTGTTTTTATTGTATTACATCCAAATAGACAAATTTAATTATTCTACTTACATCTTACTTCATGCATTTCACGTGGAACGTCTCTACAAAATACATGTAGCCCCGCTCCTTTTTCAGGACTGTGCTAGTTGTCTTGTCTTCCGGTTTGTATTTGCACAGCATGAAAGCAAGGTCATACGAATTTATGAATGAACCCAAATCTTCCCGGTCTTACAGGGTTATAAAAATAACCTGGGAATAACCATTAGGGAACATTCTGTATACGTTATTTTAAAAACAACCACCCTGCAACATTCTGGGAACGTTATTTTATGTTTGCAAATTAATAACCGGAAAATAACCATGAGGGAACATTCTCTATAAGTAATTTTTTATGTTATTTAATAACCACCATGCAACGTTCTGGGGATGTTATTTTATGGTTACAAAAACAAATATAACCTAAAAAGGATGTTCCTCTAACGATAGTATTTGGTTCCCAAAATAATAACTAAACAGGAACCAAAAACTAACGTTAGGGGAACGTTCTGTGTTTGTTGAGGGTTTACTGTTAAACGTCCGGAGCCTTCCGTGCTGGCGCGGCATTTAGAGGAATATGTAAATATGTTATGTGCGTTTTCCTCTCAATTACAGAATACACGCAAACCAAACATGACAGCGGTGAAAAACAAGCGGTTAAGAAAGCAGCTAGCTCAGGACTGTTTTGATAAGGTATTATAAATGAGGATGTGAATAAAAAAAATGAATAGTTTTCCAAAAATAAAACGATTTATCGCTTACCTTTATTTTGTTTCTATTTGACTTACAAAAGCAGATGTTAGGCAGAATGCATCACTTCTTCATTCGGTTAATTAATAGTGAATGAGAACGTCTCTCTGCCTGTCATCTTATTTTGTGTGCCACTGTCCTCCCATGTATTGTAAAAAAAATAATTGTATAATAATTGTAATCGTATAAGTAATAATTTTGACATTTTCAAAAGCTGATTTCCTTTTTTTTTAATTTATTAGTTAGAATATGTATAACTCAATATTGTAAATTACTGCAAAAGCTGAAATAATTTTGTTGCAGCCCTACTCCATGCAATTAATGTAACTCCATGCAACTTCAACATTATTGAACAATTCAACATAAATGAAATGTCTTAAATGAGACCTGATACTGTATACAAAAAGTAGAGCTTGTAATGATTAATAACATGATTGTTAACAGCCATATATTATTTTATTCTTCAAACTGAATTTACTGATTAAATCTAAGACATTAAGAGATCATGCATAAATCTATCGCATGGCCCTGCGTTTGTTCGCTTCCGTATATAATCTAGTATTTACTGAATTATTTTTCATGACGCTAAGAGGACCAACTGCAAAGTTTCAGGAGTGAAAACTGAATTTAAACAGGTTTGCAAACTCTCACGCCACTCACCTAAATTTATATTTGATTTTATATATATATATATAGTAAAATAGCCAGTTAAAAATGACTGGTGAATTACCTTAACGCTAACTAATTTTAGGTAGCCATCTAATCAGCATATAAAATAGGGAAAGTTTCTAATACCACATTAAGCGTATGGGTAATCTAAATCTTTAAATGCCACCAAATGCCCTCTGGCATTATTGTTACAGAGAGACAACTGCTAGACATTACAATTACTCACAACATCTAAACCATGAGAACAATGATTAAACTGAACTAAAACCAGCACTTACCAAACAACAGAACAAGATCAGAGGACTGAAGATCTCGTGCTGGTTCTTCTTCTTCTTCGATGGATTGTGTTGTTATTAGCAGTGAGGAAAGACACTTAACTACCGCCACCTGCTGGACTGGAGGATGGAGCTTCGATGCGCAGGGAACAGAGCAGAAAGAAAGAAAGAGAGCTGGGTTCCTCATTCACATACACATATGTTGTTTGTACTTTTGTCTACATTTTTATTTTCTTAGGTTTTCTTATCAATTTTCACTTATTATGACTGTAGCCAGTGTTGTTGCTGTAGTAAATTTGTGGGTGTTTGATTTTAATTTCCAACCCATTTTGAGTTAAAAACAAAAACAAAGCCCAGACTTTTAGTAACTGTTAACCCCAAGCTTGCGGGGTTATTAACTATTGAAAGGCTGGACTTATGCACTGCAAGTTGCCCTCGTGGAGAAATGATCTTTAAAAGTGATGAGAGAATTCATATATGGTTTGTATGCAATGCAAAAACACTGACAATTAATAAAAACTAATTTTATTTTGTGGCAGCATATGATTTGGTAAAGGGATATCTTTATTAAATATAAAATGTGAAGTGTGTATAAATGTGAACTGTAAGAATACTGAAAATTCTGTATATAAGCTGCAAACCAAGTACACAAAAAGAACTGCGTCAGCTTCGGACAGCTCTGCTGCTTTAAATGTCTCAGCAAATGGCTGAACTGGCTGAAACTGCCTCCACACGAGGGACACTGGTAGGGCTTCTCTCCGGTGTGAACACGCTCATGTTTCTTCAGGTTTCCGGACTCTGCAAAGCTCTTTCCGCAGCACGAGCAGGTGTAGGGTTTTTCTCCGGTGTGGGTCCTCTGGTGCATCCTCAGCTCGCTGGCTCTCGTGAAGGCGCTGCCGCACTCGGAGCACACGTGAGCTTTCACGCCCGTGTGCTTCTTCTGGTGGTCTTTAAAATAGCAGAGCCACAAGAAGCTCTTCCCGCAGAAGGAGCACACGTAGGGCCTCTCGTTGGTGTGGATCCTCAGGTGTCTCTTCAGGTGCGCCGCTAGAATGAATTTGTGTCCGCACTGATCGCAGCTAAAGGGCCGCTCTCCGGAGTGAGACAGCAGGTGAGTCTTCAGACTCGTGGCGTGTGTGAAGCTCTTCCCGCACTGATCGCAGGAGAACGGCTTCTCTCCCGTGTGGATCCGGATGTGATCCGTGAGGTTGGCTTTATGCGTGAACCTCTTCCCGCAGTGCTGACACGCGAACCGTCTCTCTCCCGAGTGAATCCTCATGTGATCCTTAAGGTTTCCTTTATGCGTGAAGCTCTTCCCACAGTGAAGGCATGCGTAAGGCTTCTCTCCGGTGTGAGTCCTTATGTGATCGTCAAGGTGTCCTCTCTGTCTAAAACTCTTTCCGCAGTGAGAACAGATGAGCGCTGTTTTCTGCGTGCTTTTATTTTCAGTCTGTGTGCGACTGGAGGATTTCTCACTGGTTATGATTGCACGAGGCTCCTCGAACGGATGTTTCTCCTCTACTTCATTCAGCTCTTGACTTTCCTCCTTCACCTCCACCAGGTCTGAAATGAACACAAAAGATCTAAAACTAGCAAGCAATGCAGCAACGATGCACCTTTGTCTGCTTTTTTTATTTACCTCGAAACCTTCAGGTGCATCTCAATTGACGTACTTATGCACTATTCAATACCGTTTTGTAGTATAAATAGTGCATGCAGTGTTTCAATTTTACAAGAAAATGTGCACTTTAAATACCTGTACGATGCACTTAACCCTAAAAAGGACAAAACCATAAAGAGACATCAGAAAATAAATGCATTGCTATTTCCCATCTTATAAGGACTCAGATAATACAATTCTTATTTTTGATTTTAATGTTTGTATCTCCAGGATACATCGCTTCTGAAAACAGAACACGTGTTTATCAATGCTTCTAAAAACATTCCTGAACGCTTTGGAAGACAGACCGAAGGTTGGTCTCTTTTTAAAGAAGACACAGCAGATTATTGCTGAAGTGAAAGCATTTAAAAAAAGAAAGTATAAAGTTATAGAAGTTTAAGTTTGCAGTAAAGATAATGTAGCATACTAATTTGTTTATATTTTATATAAAATAAATATTTTATAAAATATGTTGCACTGCTATAAAATCAAAGCCATATGTCTAACCAAGCTATGTTCCGAATTTGAAGTTGATATCACAAAAAATGTGGTTCCTGTGAGCATTAGTTTGGGCACAATACCGAAAATAACCACTGGGTGACACCCAAACTCTACTGAATTTTTCTGATGCTGTTTTCTGTCACAAACCAATCATTTTCTGTCACAATATCACTTCTATTTCAAAACAGTCACCAAATATGGAACCTTGACTGTCAGACCTGTCCCAGGATATGCGTTTGGTCAAGATTACAAAAATATTAGATTTTCTGAAACACAAGCCACAAAATCTGTCTTATATGTATGTTTTTATATCTTGATTTATGCCCCTAAAAGACGTATTTCCTGAGACACACACATTTAGAGACAGATTACAAAAAAAATGTAAGCATTTAATTCATAAACTTTCAATGTAAACCTAATAATGCTGAACGTGTGTGAATATGTGAACTAGATCAACTTTTCTCGGAGGGCGAGGAGATTTTTTTTATAGCACTTTATCTATTTGTGTCAACAGATTTCAATTACAATACATATTTTTAAAGGCCGTTTTCTCAAAATGATTTTTTTTCTCCTACACTGAGCCATAAATCTCATCTTCAGTAGCACTTACACACACCAAACTTTACATTTTTATTCCTATAGTCTATATCCTGAAGGTTTTTACAGAGGGATTTGTTCGTATATAATCTGCTTGATTATACACAACATTTCATGCCCCCAAAAATCGTGAAAATATATTGTTTTCTGTCTGTTCTAAGTATTTTCTGAATTATGGAGTGACAAAAATGAGATACCCCAAATTCCCTCTGTAAAAACATTTGACTCTAATATGTAAAAAAAATTAATTTTGAAACTGACTTCATCCAGTGTTCAGATTTTTGTACTAAAAAAAAAGCTTATTTATTCAGCTTTCAAAAATGGACTCTTATGACTGGTTTTGTGCTCCAGGGTCACAAATGGTATAATATTACATATATGATTTATATAACTGAGTAGCTTCAGCAATAACCATTATTTTGACAAAATTGGGGACCGACCTCTGTGTTCCTCGGGGTCATCCTTTAATATCTTGAATGGTTCTGGATCGCTCGCGTCCCCAATCAGCACTCTGACAAACTCCATGTTAGATTATTATAGTTATTCCTGCCTTATATAATCCCAGATCATGAGGGAGACGCTTCACTGAAGATCCAGATCTCTGCTGAGATACGGAGGTCCAGAGCTGCCAAGTCATTTAAACAATGAACAAATCAGTATGTTTTCTAGTAAAACTGCAAAATCACTGCAATGCAATGCATTTTAACTGTTAAACATCTGCTTTTGTCTTTTTATTGGAAATGCATTGTAATTAAAAGGATAAACGCTGGGTTGCACAGATATTTAACGGTTTTGAAATTAATGTCACAATGCAAAAACTCTTAATGGTTCTAAAAACTTTTTTTTTTGAAAACAACAGAATTTAATATTTCTTTCTTTCTTTCATTATGGGGTAAAGTATGACCTGTAGAAAGCAAAATGCAATTCAATCATCCACTTGCACAGTTTATCTCACTTTAAAACAAGAACGGCTACAAAGCACACTAATTAATCAAGACATCACTAGCTTTAATGCAGTGTGACACAGGGATAGAAACTAATCATCTCATGAACAGTAAACTTGGCAATAAACATGTAATACACAACACACACACACACACACACTCACTCACTCACTCACTCACTCACTCACACACACACACACTCACACACACACTCACACACACACACTCACTCACTCTCACACACACACACACACACTCAC